TCCTGCTGACATCTGTAACCTCGGGTTTTGACGGAGCACTAGGAATCAAATTTGGGTCAGTGGGTCTTGGTGGCTGCACTGGGACTCCAAACTCTAACAAAGGAGAGAGAAATGCTGAGTATAGACAGGAAGCAGCTGTAAGCTAAATGCTGTTCACATCTGCACTGGCAATTTATGACAGAGTCAGATAACTTCTGCATTTCAATTTCAATTTCTGATTTTCCTTTATGTATTTTCTCCACACAGAGAGACCCTAATTGATTTACCTTGGACCTCTATGTATGCACTCCATGTAGCTTCGCCACTTGGGGTTGAAGCAATGCAGGTGTACCGACCAGTGTCGCCCAGCTGAGTGGGAAAAGAGAAGAATAAATATTGGAAACAATCAGGCACTCAGTAGGCTAGAAAAGTAATTACAGCTCTCTATGTTCCCCCATGAATATGGATAAACGTATTAGGCTGCAAAAACTTTGAACCAGAAACATCCTCCATTAGAAGCTATGATTTTGTGTGCTGCAAAATGAAAATGGATACTTATTTCTGAGCATTTGTTAAAGAATTAGAAAAGCTGCAGATTCTAATTTAATGTTACCTATTCTGTAATGAACAAAGCGAAGGCCAATTCTTGTAGCGTTTATTCCTTACTCTGCAGAGGTCCTAATAAATAAATTGAGAAGGAACTCAGATGACAAGACCCCATGCAACTGTCAACCTTCTGCCTAAATAATGCCTGGGGATTTGTCTGGACTGTAGCACTGGAGAGCACGCCATCCTTAAAACAAAGCTTAAATATTGCACAGGGCCTTGTACATAAGGGGTTCCCTGTGTTAGTATAAATTTCACTCTACAGCAGGCCCAAAAAGGAATCTCCATATGCTATTTTCATGCAGTTCTGAATGCTGGATTCTTGGTCCATATATGACTTAATCACATTTCAAAAGAGTTTCTTTTTTTGCCCCAAAAGAAATGCTATCCTCCTAAGGTCCCAGGCTCAGCAGATGGGCCGAACGGAAGCGCTCAAAAATCAGAGGTTCAAACTCTAAGCCAGTGTAACTTGTAATTGGTAACAGGGCAACTCTAGGGAACATAGTAAAGTGATGTATTCAGCCATAGTTTTAAAAAATTACTACTTTTGAAACCACAGAAAAGATAGCAGAGGATAGCCAGTATGCTAAAACTTAACGTTTTAAAAACGTTTTACAGCGTGCAAGGCATGACCAGCAATACTGACCAGGTACTTCCTATAATTCCCTAAGGAAGCCAGGTATTTGACAGGTGGTTAACCATTTTAAGCTATGTTTAGACTGTTGAGTGAATCTGTTTGAACTTTAAAAACTGTTTTGAAAAAAGCTGTGCACATGGCTCTATTACTGCAGTATGCTAAGCAAAGGTTTTCTTTATAAACATTTGAAATAATTAGATTGTTTTAATCTATTAGTGCTAAAGCCCAAATAACTTCAGGATTCGTCTTACTGAAATACAAGTTTTGCTTTCCCCTTCATGCTTTACGTACCAAATAATTCCCTTAATTAATACCTCTTAAAAGCATTTTTCCTTATCAAATCTGAAATAATGTGCCCTAGGCAGAATGAGCCAAGGTGTTAGGCATAAAGAATGAACTATCTGAAAGTATGAAGTATTAAATATTTTAATACATTTATTTAACATTTCATTAATTCTAAACGTAGGATTTACTACATCAAAAGTGCCCAGAGGTGAAAAAACAAAGTGAAACAAACAACAAGAAAACCCGTTTGCCAGTTCAAGCTACCTTAGCATATCGGATCTGTAATGCTCCTGTCTCCAACTGCTTGATGCGAGAGTCCTGTGTAGAAATGAGGATCCCATCCTTTTTCCAGAGGATAGTGGGCATTAAAGTGCCTGTGGCCACGCAGTTCAGTACTAAAGTACCATCTACAGCTACAGTCTGATTCACAGGACCCTGTCGAATGACAGGGGGAGGCCGGTCTGCAATCACTGCCAGAAGAAACAACCGGAAAGAGATTTCGGCGACTGGAAGCAATTTTCTAATCATCTAAGCAACAGCAGTTTCTTGAGGCTTTGAAACAAACTAAAGATAATTAAACAAGTAATTAAAGTTGGGACGCATGCATTATTCAGGGCAGGGTGCATTATAATGACACGTAACTACAGAATTTTAAAATGATACACAACACAGTAGTTTCAGAAAGTAAATAAGTATTACATATTACATAGTGGTATTTGCTAGGCATTCTCTAATTCCAATGCCTTTAATAAAGCGATAATGGAATGAGAAAGGACTTCCCAAATTCTTTGTCAAGGCACAGATTTCACCTTGTTCATCTTCTACCATGTAGCAGGCCTGTATAACAGAATTCATATTTTCAGCATTCAAAGACAGAGGAAAAGGAGGCAGGCCAGGGGATAACCTGGCTAACGTATGCTGCTTAAAAAAATTTTATTGTGTACCATCAACTCATCTTGGTGCTATTTCCTAATTGGGAGATGCCTAGCAGCAGGGTAAAGTAAACACAAAGCTAATGAGTAGGGCCACATTAAAAATTTTCAACTAAGAAATGTTTTTCCAGTAGTTCTATGACGACTTAATCTGTCAATATGACTTCAAAGTCTCAAAGAGAATCCCACTGTGTGTTTGCATCAATTTTAATGCATCTTTTGCACAACAAAAATTAAAGGTTATTGATGGGTTATTTAATAACTGTGCACAGAAAGGTATAAAGCAGTCTCAGTATTCACAGAAAAAAGAATGATTGTCTACATGAGGGTTTTTTTTTTTCCATTGTCCAATGGATAATCAAAAAAAAAGAGGTAAAAGCTATCTTATTGTGTTTCAGTGACCTCCTCTAGATGTACCATCCAACATGACATGGCCTGATGATCTGAAAATAGCCACAACTTTAAATGACATAAATCCGTTCAGCAGTGCCATGGGGCCTCACGTAACTTAAAAACTGGTTTGGTAGCCGAAATACAAACCTGAAGTTCTGATAATTTGTGAACATCAAATATTTCTAAATTACTTTTCATAACAACAGACAGGGTGTTAGTACTGCTTTTTTTGGCTAAATTCCAACTCTTGTAATTTCATTTGCATTTTCAAATGACACTCTGTGTTTTCAACTGCATAATTTACCCTTTACTTCTTGTCCCAACCTGTTGCAATGCACTGTGAGGCCATTAGTATCTTTCTTTGCAGAGACAGTCAAAATAAGCTCACTTATAGTTTGTATTTGACTTTGACAAGTTCATAAAGAGCTTTGCAGTTGTCAGTGGTAAGAGGCTGACGGATCTGTGCTCTAGAGGACAAATCTAATGCCATTGAAACCCATGGCTAATTTAAGTGCCACTGAAGTTGATGTTACCTTTAGGAATACCAGGGTATCATTCTGCATATCCTGCCTTCACTTCTATAAAAGTACCAAAAAAATAGTGTCCCAAGACATTATACAAAACAACTACCCATCAGATCAATCCAGAGCATATAGTCATAGTAAAGGAAATATATTTAAATTCATTTGATTTTTTCCAAGTTCAGATGGCATAGGTCATTAACAGAAAAACTCTTAATTTTCTTAATTTTCTTTTAAAAATTTATTTCTCACCTTGCCATGGCCTTCTCCCCAGCAAAAAATGGATAAAAGTGGATTAAGAAATGTGGCTTACCACTTGTGAGAAACAAGAAAGGATGCGGTCCTATTCCTCCAAACAATCTCAATCCAGTGGGTGTAAATAAACAATTTTATTCTCCAGGTTCACTTCATGTTTCTAGTACTGCATTATTTCTATGTTTTCTGTAGGGCAAAGGCCCAGTTTATGGAAACTCTTCTCAGACAACAGCTTCCCTCCCCTCAAAGTCTCTCCACAGACTGCACTTAGCCTCTTTTTCCATAAGTGCTAAGATTATTATTTTTCCTGTGTATCTTTGCTATTAAAAATATGAAGTATTTCTGATAATTGGCAAATTGGCCTCACATCACCATATATTACTGCTTGCAGTCATACTCCCTGTAGCTTTTTCATCTTAATTTTTTTTCCCAACTGCTCCTAAAAAGGAATGTATAATAATATTCATTTGTATGTTATTCTACTGACTTCCATAAAGGTTGAGGTTTTTTCCTTGCTATACTGCAACATTAAAAAACAGGTAAAAAACAGGTAAAAGGAGATGCTAAGCAAACGGACACACAATAATAAGGATAAAGTGCTAAGCAGCAAGCGATCTGAAAGTAAACCAAATCTAGTGGGGGAAGCTGAAGAAGAGCCAGATAAATTAACAGATCTGACAAAAATCCATAAACTGAAGCATACTTACTAAATAAAAAATGGAAATATAGTGTTACACAACATCCAAAATTTTAAACCCCTGACAGAGATGGCCTAAACAGGATTTTTATGTTCAAAGACACATGCAATCTGTATTTATGCAAAGCAGATTTCAAAGCAGTGTCATATCATCCCACTGCTGTCTTCAAATAAAAATAAAAACTTGGAAATGAGAAAATAAAGATATTATTACCATCAGTAACTTCCAAGTAGGCTTTTGTTATGATACTTCCTGCAACATTTAAAGTCTGGCAGATATAGTACCCAACATCAGATCTCTGGACATTGGTGATAGTGAGGTCTCCTGTCTGGGAAACTGAAAATCGGCTGGATGACTGAGGGGGCTGGTATGAGAAAAGCAGATTCTACAAGATGTATAGGAAAGAAAGGGGGGAAAGAAGGGTTAAATAAATTCAAACATCAATAATCTTAACTTTAATATATCTAAACAAATTAATCTTTTTACATTATACACAAAACATCCTGCTCTTCATATCTTAAGCATGTCTATACCACAATGTGAATAGCTTTTATAGGATTTTTTTGTGATAAAATAGATGCAGATATGCACATATAATTGTGTAAGTCCTTTGGGATTGTTCTAACACTCTCTATGGTCAACGTTGGGCTTTACACAAAGTTTAACAGGCACTAGCGAAGATGTGATATGTACAGATACCGTAATGGTGCAAGCAACTGTGGTGAACCTAAGTAACTTGCTTTAACATCCTTTTTCAGAACTTACTCCAGGGCATTCTATTTATTTCATTTAAATGCAGATGTTTGTTTACTTATTTGTATTTTAACTTTAGCCTTCCTAAGAATGGAGCAGTTTTTTAAAAAGAGATGCTGTTTAGGTCTCTCTAATCAGTGTGTTTGTGTTCTATAACGAGTCTTATAATATAGAATTAAATCCTATGCCAGCTTCTACTTAAATAGTTTTGGTATGAAGTACATAGCATTTACCAACAGTGGTCAAAAATCAGAACTGCAATCAAAATAATACAAGTCCTTTACACTGAATACCGATTCTGAATTTCTACCTCTGGCTGAACAATTCATGAATGAGAATACTTTAAGGTCACATGGGCTATTTTTTATCTCTCTTTCTTCCCTAACTACATTTTGCATTGCCAAAAATCATCCAAAGGAATGGGATACAACATCCTCTACTTCAGTATTAGCCAATTCTATTTATTCATTGACCTCCTCCAGTTCCCTCAATCCTCACGAGTGGTCACCACTCAGCGGAGTCAAAAATGAGCCAGAAAAATTATGCACTAGGCAACACTTGGCAGAAAAAAAAAAATCTAGGTCATACAAAAATACAAACCTAATATACTGGTATACTTATACCATTGAAGATTATAATCTAAAATTGGTTAGCAGTCTAGTTGTACTTAGGTATTTAGACAGAAATGTTGCAAATGGGGAAAAGAAGCCAATCTCTAAGCGTTCTCAATTTCTCTGGCCTATTGTTTTGTAACACAAAGAACCCTGTCATATGCTATTGCACCATTCATTCCTTCATTCTCAGGAAAACCAGAATCCCATATTCCTTCTTTGCTTCCAATAAAGAAGACTTTGTGTCACATCCCTCCTTCAAAAGATGATTCTGAAAGAAAACTGTGATTCTCTTGCTGTGCTATATTGTGTTTCACCCACTGGCTTTCAAGATCCTTTACAAAGAAGCTGAAAATATTTTTCCCTCCCATTCAAACAAGGAAGCTGGGAGAAAAAGTGACCTAGTCAGGTATGACCTGTCAGCCAACTGACTGACTGGGAAAGTAGATCTCCTTAGCCCCAAACTAGAGTCCTACCCATGTAGTGATGCAGATCAATACAGCAAATGGTTTAGTTTGCCAGACACACAAACACATGGCAAACTAATAGCTGCACCATAAAGCCACAGCCAAACTTTCTGAAAATTCGAGAGCGTTTGGGAGTTCAAACAAACTTCAGCATTAGTCATCTCTTCATCTCTTAAAAGTTCTCCCTGTTAGGTGCAAAAGATTTTCATAGTGAAACACAGAATGTTCCCAGTTGTTTCATAGATTTATTTTTACATTCATGAAGAAAACGGGAGTGAGCAAAACATAGACATCCTTTCTAGTATGGCTGACATCACCTAGCATGCATGTGACTTTGAAGTAAAGAAATACCCAGCATCTCCAAGCTCTAGACCTATTTTCCAGATGTTTAAAATGATCATTAAAATACTCTTCTCTCATGTGACATCATCTTTTCAAGAAACTGCCAGGAAGAAGGGACAGAAAGGCTGTTTTACCTGACTCCCTTCTCTCCGCCAAAAGATGGCTGGCTGAGGGTTTCCAGTTGCTTCACACTGGAAAGTCACCGTTCTCCCCAGTGCAGCTACCTGATCTCGAGGCTTTACAACAAACTGTGGAGGCTCTGAAAGGAAAATAAAAAAAAAAAAAAAAATCACACTACTATCAGAAGACCAAAGTTAGCCTATTTGAAAGCACAAATTGCCTACTGACTTTAAATGGTGTAAAACAGAATAGTTAGGTTTCTTTAATAAGGAGAGGCAGCACAGAGGCACGTCAGTCTCTAACAGCCACAGCTTCAGCATCACTCAGATCATCTTTGCTGTTGCTGGACCTCCCAATTAAAACTCTTGACTGTGCATCACGTGCTTTTGTTACTGACCCCTTATACAAGGAAGTAAGTCCCACCAACTTAATGAGACAACTTGCAGAGCAAGAGTCACCAATACGAAGAAATCTGTTACAATTTGAGTTTTGAAGGAGGAGTACAGCTAAAGTCAGAACGGAGAAATCTTTGAGGGACAACAGGCCTACAGGCCACACTTTGTCAAGGGCTTCAATAACACTGTTGAGTAACTATGAATTCAGGCTTATATGCACAAAAGTCATCATCTTTGATTTAGGAAAGTTGAGGAGAGAAAAAGCCCTTAATTGCTTATATAAAAGACTTTTGATGTATCGGGGCCTCAAAAAAATTTAAAGTCAAAAGCCCCAGAAATACTATTGAACAAATAATAACCGTTTAAAAATCTTCAGTCCAATTACTGAAGAGGAATGAATTTAAAGGAACAGCAGAGCTAAATGTCTTCCTCATTTACATAGGCAAGGGCATGTTCAAACAAAATATATATGCAAATGAAGGCAAATTTGAAACATCTGCTCAGCCTAACATTATAAATACTGCCAGCATTGTCCAAACTGTTTGATTTAGACAGACTTCAACAACCCCTTCATCCAGTAGTAAATAGAATGTCAAAAAAACATGTCAGTCACATTAAAAAAAAATCAGCAGAGACGACAGCAGTAGATATCTTGATGGGGCTAGCACAGAAAAAAATTCTAGCTTGTTTTATAGGCTGTTAACTCTCACTTCTTGAAAAACGTGCATTAAATGGAAGTCCATTTATTTATTCATTTCCTATTCCTTCTGATCATCTGTCCAAAACTAATTATGCTCTCCCTCTTCCTTATGTTGGAATAAAGGTGATGTTTTGAATCTGACTTTAATAACTCAAATGTTTTTGGTGTTTTGGGTTTTTTTCTTTTTTCTTTCAAACATTTCTGTATTTACAAGATTTTCCTTTAAAAAGAGTGTGAATCATATAATTTAAAGCTATCACTTGATGTGTTTTATAAACATCAAGTAATAGTGGCTTTATCTAGAATGAATTCGGTATCAAAGTCCTTTCTAAAAAAATTGCTTTCAGTGTTCCTGTGGGCCAATACTTCCAGTATCTCGTGCCTTGTGTCTCTGCTCCCTATTGAGTTCACATTAGGATATACTCTCCCTATGACCCCCCTGCTTTGGGAGGAATTTTTAAAGCACAACATATTATTATTTACATTTGGATGCAAATGCTAGCTTTCCTAGAATTTCCTTGATAAGAAACTACCCAAATGGAAGGTGAGTTTGACCTACAGTAATTAGCAGACTTCAAAACATTTAGCTCTGAAACATTCAACCCATAGCTTGGAAGAAGATGTGGGAAGACTTTGACATGACAGCATGTTTGATTCAGAACGGAAGGTGAAACTGTTGGGGGTTTGCCACAGGGTTGTAAGGTATGATGGGGAAAATGGAGATGAGGGTGAAGCACCTTTGTTATGCTGTTGGATTCTAATAACAAGAATAAATTTAGCATATAGTTAAATTTAGGGCTTGGCTGGTTCTGTACTGGTCTGTGACACAATGCCACGCAAAATGGAACTGAGGGTTTCTAAATCCTGGGCTAGTACATAGGATGTATAAGGTTTCAGATTTCATTGAACCTGAGAATGGGTACAGATAGAAAGAGATTAAAATGGTTCTGACCACTGGAGAAATAGCCAAATGAGTGTGATTCCAGTACCTGAAGATGACCGTTCAGAGACTACTGAACACAAGAAATGAGGGGAAATGCAGTCTTTCAGGTAACCATGGTAGAACTTATAAAATATAAATAGGTATATGTTTCTCTAGATATTATTCTAAATATGTATTTTGTATGTATACTACTCTACATATATACACATATTATGCGCATGTGTATTATTCTAAATCTATTGCTATTAAGGCAAGTAATAAAAATCCTATTAGCTTCAATGTCAGAAGAATTAAAACAGGGTTAAGTGAAACTCTTATTAAATTCCATTCAATGTTCACTGTACTGGAAGCATTTTCACTGTCTTTTTTTAACTTCAGTTTGCTTTCACACCTTGGGTCACATACATGTGGTATGCGATAAATATACTGTAAAAGATGCTGAAATAATAATCCACTTAAGGAAAGAACAACTTCTGTCCTTAAGACCTTTAAAACAAAAATAATTTTTTTATAGAACACTTTGAAGTTCAACTAATGCAGTCACTGAAGAAAGAAGACATTAAGTTTTGACTCGTTACATCATGTAAAAACAGACAGAAAGTTACCAACCCATTACCTTTCTCTTTGCCATTAAGTTACCCATACTTCATGCAGAATTTATTCTGTGCGATGTGTCTTGTCAATAACAAGTAAAAGATGGGAGCTGACTGGTTGAAGGACATGGAAGGGGATGGATGGGAAGGGGAGGAGAAGTTCCCGTCACAGTGATACGATGACTAGAAGATGGCCAATAAAATTTCAACTTACCAGACACAACTAAAAACAAAAACAAAACAAAAAGAAAACATGGAATAAATAAAATTGAATAGACATGAAACAAAGCAAAGAATAAAGCAAAATTAAAAAAATAAATAAAAAGGACCCTTGGTAACGACCTTAGAAAGCACACGTATTCTGATATATGAAAAATAGGTTTAAAATGTTGAACCACATCTTTTTTAATTGATTTTTAAGCAGAAGGCTCTATCAAATGCTGAAAGCAGGCTGTAGAAGAAAATGGGTAACAGAGTGAAATAATGGTCAGGCAACCTGGGTTCTACTCCAAGCCTTTCAAATGAACTGTTGTGTAACCTTGAGTAAATTTTTTTTTCATATTATTATTTCTCTGCATCAAGAGCTTTCCATGGTAAAATTAACTTGAAATCTCCAGTAAATATCAATCTGCAGCACTGCTGAAATGGAACAGTGACATTTACACCCTTTCTAAAGCATCCAAACATCTACAAATGGAAAATACTTTTCTGAAGCTAATAGCTATTAAAAAGGAACTTTATTAAAAAATTAATAATATTCTGAAGCACTTAGCCCACACACCAATCTCTTTAGTATAAGATTGCCGTATCAAGGTCACAATGCTCACTATTAAACTGTAAATGCAAACTAAAACACCATTAAACTTAATTTGAAAAGATTCTTAACCCTTTCCTCCCCCTCAACCTCAATTTCACTAAAATATTCAAAACCAGAGATTTACTGCAAAATATTAGTCTTTTCAACAGAAATTGTCAGTGGTAAATTATGTAATGTTGAATTCTCTTTCAACCATAGCTGAAAATTTTCATAAACTTTGAAATGGCACAGACCCTGGCAGGCTAACTTCATTTATAAAAGAAAGGCATGTTAGAAAGAATTCCAACCACATATCACTAATTGAAAGAACGGATTGAAAAAAAAAAAAAAAAAGAAAAACCCATGCATTTTGAAAATATACACAGATACTGACAAAAAAGTCAATCAAAAAAGGGGAGCTGGTATAAGATAATTAACCATAATTAACCATCTGATCACAATTAAAAAAACGGATTGAAAAAAAAAAAAAAAAGTAAAACCCATGCATTTTGAAAATATACACAGATACTGACAAAAAAGTCAATCAAAAAAGGGGAGCTGGTATAAGATAATTAACCATAATTAACCATCTGGTATAAGATAATTAACCATACAACTGTTTTAATGCATGTTACAAATACCAAGCCCTTCAACACTTTGGTCTTATGGCTTTATGTTGAGAACACCTCCAGCAGGGTACAGTTTCATATCGAGTAGGTAAGCACCTGCAATACACAATCCTCTGATAAAACACATGGAGGGAACTAATAATATCCAATCTGCCAACATTCATTAGGCATGAGGAATACTGGCTTACTGTTCAAATAAATACAGAGGACTCCAGGTGTATTATGAAAACGAAGCAGAAAGAGAATCAGTTATAATATTGGAATTTGGATCATGTCGAAGCCAAGAAGCTGCAACTGAATGCACCAAAACCAAATCATATAGAGAATTTGGGTTTTATGTTATTAGATACTTTTTTTTAGGAAATAATCCCAAACAGAGGAAGCTGAAATTACCATTTTTCAAAGATTTGAGTTTCAATTCTAAGGAAGTATTCTGGATGTACATTAGCCTTCTTTAAGTGTGTGGGTTCAGTATCTCTCAAAGAGAAAATCAGTGTGCATTATTCTGCTCAGATTATCTGCAAGTCTACGATTTGTAAGAGGACTGGCCAAGAAATAATACAGAAGAATTCCTGAGAGAAATCTGCTTGCTCCCAAGACTCAGCTCCTAGCGACTCTTGATCTTGTGTAAGTATATTACCCAGTAACCACTCCTTTTTAACTGAAAAGCTCTCTACTAAACTTGCAATTACAGTCTGACCTGCTCTGGAATTAGAAATGTTTCTCCATAAAACACAACTCATAGTCTACATGAAATAGCCTGATAAGACACTTAATGGGTTGCAATTCTTGCACAGAGGAAGTAACTCTAAATTATCAATTTTCCATTACTTGAGTAGTGCCAAAAAGAGAAAAGTTCAGCCTTCTTGGTAGCAATGCAAAGCTGCCTAAGCCCTCTACTGGAAGCTCACTTGAAAATTTCTAACAGATATAAATCTTGTCTTGGTTGCTCAATTAGATTTCTACAAATTAAATTAACTTCTAAGTGCTGAATTGACACTTTTTTTTTTACCAGACAGTTTTATTATGGTAGGTCAAAAATAACCCTGTCAAGCAAATGTATTTTTTTGCCCACCTGTAAAAACAGAGGGGGTACTAATACATGAAAATAAATTCCTGTAGAAACAGGGCATCACATTGGTTGGAAATCTGTGGCAAAGGGTGAAATTCCATAGAAAAATTTAAACAGTTCTGTCAGAGGGACATCATGTGGTTTAAAAGAACAACAGTAATAGCAACAACTTCAACAAAGACCACTTTCTTAGTTTGATTTACATCCTGTATCTAAGGTTACTAAAATTGAGAAGTAAATAGTTTTTCCTCTATTATGGCACATTTTATTTGACAGCACTTTCAATTATAAAGTAAATTAATTTTCCCTGTGTTAATCATGGCTTTTCACATGGCCATTAGGGGGAATAACCTGTTTGTAAAGACAGGAAGTTACCATGTAAAACCACAAATACCAAAGGAATAATATTTTTGCCTTTCAAATAATTTCCTTGACGTGTGAGGTTTTTCAGGGAAGCTGTGTCCAGTCACTGAACAAAAAACAAAAGAAAAGTGGTTTCCAGACCAGTGATGTTATCTTTTAATGCCTTATTCTTGCCAGCAATCCTATCAACCTCACTGGGACCACTGGTGTCATGAAATCCACTTGCAGGAATAGGAATTTGCAGTTTGAGGACTTAAACTACAGACTAGTATAGTTTTCAGATGTTAATGGAGGAACTATTGTATTTGACAGATGTAGTATCGTAGGGTCATAGGATAATCAGGTTGGAAGCAACCTCGGAGGTCTCTAGTCCAACCTCTTGCTCAAGCAGGGTCAGCTATGCGGTCAGACCAGGTTGCACAGGGCTTGATCCAGTTGGGTCTTGAAAACTTCCAAGGACTGAGAATGCACAGCCTTTCTGGGCAACCTGCTTTACTGCTTGACTGTCCACCCAGTGAAGAAACTTATCCTCATATCCAGCCTCGATCTCCCTTGTTTCAACTTAAATCCATTGTCTCTTGTCCTCCCACCGTGCACCACTGTGACAAGCCTGGCTCCGTCTGACCGACAACCTCCCTGTAGGTATTGGGGGCTGCTGTTATGCCCCCCCTGAAGCCACCTCTCCTCCAAGCTGTGCAAGCACCATTCTCTCAGCCCTTCTTCACAGGTACATATGAGACCTCAACATACTGTGTGTAATGCCTACATCTCTAAAGAACACATTTTGTAATTCTTCTCACGAAGGTGAATACAAATGTTGATCTAGTGTTTCTCTATAACTCATTGGTTTCCTCATATTTAGAATTAAATATTACAGGGTTGTGTCTATTTCTTAGTCTGATATTGGACAAGCTATACAATTCAAGTACCTCCCCCCCAAAAAAAAGCTGTGGTAGTAATTATCTGTCTCAGAGAGAGTAAAATTATATAAATTTTCATTCATTTATACTAATAAGGTGCTTTTGAGATCCTGAGATTCAAGGTGGTACTCAATTACTAAACAGTTTTTTGATTTGCATGTTAAATACTCATTAATTATTGTTCTGACTATTACTATTTATGAATACCTTCCAGGTACTCAGAAGATATATTGTTATTCAGCTGACACAAGCTCAATTTAAGCTCAATGCATTTCATTTTTGATTATTTAAATAAAAATCTTCACATCTTCAAGGACTGCTTGACACCCATAGAGGCTATTATAAAGGAAGCAAGAAAGTATAATTCTACACCAGAGATATGAAACAATTGCAATCTTCGGGCCAATAATTACATACAACAGCCAGGCTCATATACAGTCTTTAGCTTCTGTATAAATCCTTGGCTATATGGTTAACCTAGGAAACGGCAGTCACAATGAAATTTAGATTGCTTTCAATTAATTTTGTGATACATTAATCCCAGTTCAAGTGAAAAATATCAGAGGTTGAATCTGCCTGTAGAAACAAACTGGTAGGAGATGGGAGGCAAGTATGAGCCTATGTGCTGGAAGAGACAGCAGAGCTTGGGAGTAGGCATTTCTGATGCAGTTGCCAGGTAGAGGCTGGACAGTGTGAGAGAAACTCCAGAGCTAGCAACAGAAATAGTATAGAGACAGCTACGTTATCTGTTGTGTAGCATTGCAGTTCTACAGAATGGCTGAAACTCAGCTGTTTATAATCTCAGTATGAAATGGGTGAGAAAACCGCAGTTTATAACCCCTGTCTGAAATGAGTGGGTACAGAAAATTTGGGTACTAGAGTTACATGCAGAGGAAATGTGAGAGTCTGAGTATGTTTAGCTGGTCAAACTCTGACTGCTCACTCCTTAAAAAAAATAAACACATTCTGAACAATTTTATTTTCCAATTCCTTCCCTAATTCCAAACAAAAACTCAGTTAAAAGCTGCCAACCTCTTCTGTTCATAAGTATGTTTCATTGCTATGCCTGCTAAACTCTGAAATCTAATTAACTACTCTTTACCTTCAAGTATCTGAACAAGGACCATTGAATGCCTTTCTGAAACATGACTACCAGATATTTATGTTGGTGTTTTGCAAAAACTATTATTAAGGGAGATAGTGTAAGACAATGTGCCATGTTTCATTTCCTGCCTAGTGATTTGTAGGCTATTTGTTCTACCAAAGCAGTCTGAAACACCCAATATCTTTGATATGCACATCTCTCTGCAGTCATTTGTGGAAAGTATCACTTTCTACAGAGAAATAAACAAAGGCCAAAATCTCTTGTTCTGAAAAAATACCAATGTTGCCATTCAGCTGTCTCCTGGCTTCAGCCTGTGAAAAACAGGGGAAAATAACACC